ATCTATTTGTTATAGATAGTTCTGTAATTTTGTGGTTGCTTATTGATATGTAAAAATGTTGGCAGACTTTAAAAATAAAATAAATTATATCTTGATTATTAATCTTAAATTATTATTTTTTATTAAAAACTTACATTTTATAGATAAATTAATAGGTTTTCAGTCCTCTATCAATTTGAAATGTTGAATTCATATTATGAAGATTCTTAACATAAATAAGGTCCACCTAGTTGAGGCATGTAATGTAAATTAAAATTGAAAAATTATATTTCTGTTAAAACTTTACATAATTATAAACAATCATTGTAAATAGGAACATCGTAAAAATCAATATTAGATTGTAGGGGCTTTTGGCTTTAAGTAAACTTATCTATGATTATAAAAACATGAATTTTTGAATATTTTGTATTGTAAAAAGTAAACTATTGTAGTATTTTTACAGGAAAACTTAAAAGTGTGTATTTACAAGCATGTGTGGAATTCCAATAAAAATGGCACTGAAAAAGTCCTTGTTTACAAATTAATTAATTTATCATTATTTTTTCTGATCACTTTTGCATTTGCAATACTATATCAATATTTATCTTAAAGGAAAATAATTAAAAAACCCATAAACACTCACAGTCTGGGCGTCTGCTAAAACCAATTTAACTACCAGATAACCAGCAGGTTTTGTGAATTTAAGAATTACTTGCATTACTAGTGAGCATATGCTCATTTATGTTTAGGAAGTTCACCAAAACTATATTAATAATACCATTATAGAGAATAGAATCGAAAATTCTTTATTGTTAACATTACACAAGTTATATAGGTATACAAATTTAAAACAGTTTAACAAAATAATGTAACAATTGGCGGCCTTATCGCTTAAAGTGATTTCTTCCAGGCTATCATGGGATGGAGAGAGAGAGATAACAATTTATGAAGACAGGGGTGTAAATTTTATCAATAACATTAAAAAGAAAATATGATCAAATAATAATCTTAATTAAAAAATTATAATTATGAATATTTTTTTTTCTGACATAAGTATTACTCACTTTTTTATTTGGAGATTATAATATTATAAAGGATTATTACATCATATCATCATCATGTTTAAAGGATTGTTAAACAGGTAAATATACTGTTTATAAATTTTATTCTGAATTATTTTTAATTTTAAAAATTACATAAAATTGAGCTTAGCCGCAGCTCAGTTTTATGTAACATTTGAAATAACATGAGGCTTTCTGTAACCATATATTAAGTTGCGTGCAAGATAAATGTTCAGCCTAATTAGTATTACCTACATGAAAAATACATATTCTACTGTTTTTGACACAAAGTTAAAACCAACCACCAATTTTAACCCAAAGAAAACTGTCATACGCTATGATGGGTTACAATTTAGAACAAAAAAAATAAGCCTGTGAATCAGGAGCTGTTGTTCAATTTTGCAGGAATTTATATGTGTAAGTTCTTTTATATCAGTTGAAACTTATACTTAATTTGCTCATAGTCAGCATGGATGACAGCTGCGAGCAGATCTATGCAACTACAAGAATTTAATTTGTATACAACTTAATGTGAAAGATATGTCAAATCATTAATAATTTTCTCTGATCTTACTTATAATATCTAGTCAATAATGACATTTCTAATGGGTTTCTATAACAAACATTGTTTGAAATTTAATCTTGTATAGATTTTCCACAGTATATATTATGTTGCCTTGCTTGATTCAGTGTACAGATGTAGGTATAGCCCGATTTCGAAAGATATTGGATTCATTTCATCATCAATAATTCTCTCTTAAATGTCTACTTTGAGTCGACTATCGTTTATCTTCTTCACTTTGTTATTGATACGTATGAATATTTATTTTCAATCGAAAACTTCTTCTTTTATTAAGGGCTTTCGCATAATTCTGCCAATTTCACGTGCGTAGCCAATACATGGTATGAATTATTTAATAAAATTAATTTTGTAAATAATATTTTCAAGTATAATGTTTCACTTTCTATTACAGTTTAATATTACAAAAAAATACACATATGCGGATTGTTTTAGTAGATATCCCATATTAAATTGTCATTTACAATTAAATTTTTCAATTTCATTCTTCTTTTATTAAAGTCAAGTGAATAAATTAATTTCTACATGTAAAATGAAAAAGCAATGAATGAAAGATTAATTAAAACATTATCTGTATCATTGTGGTTTGTATTGACAAAAAGTGAATTGGTGTTGCAATATGAAAATCAAACATCGATTGGAAAATAATCGATTAATTCACTATATGTAATAGAACTGCAGTAACATTTATTGAATAAAAAAAACTTTAATATACTTTTAGTTAATTTTGGTGCAATTTTGCATTTTTCCTAAGTTTTACGGATTACTACGGTTGTTGATTCAACAACGCCCAAATAAATATATATATATATATATATATATGTATATATATATATGTATATATATATATATATTATTATTATTATTATTATGTAATTTCCAATGCCCGTAATTGGAAATGTTATATGAAAACCTAATGAAGTCCCATAAAGTCACAATATGAACTATACATGTAGTTTGATGAAGTCCGATGATATTCAATGAAGTTTAATGAATTCTGTTTAAATGGATTGAAGTTACTAAAGTCATATGCAATCATCATTTAACTTTAACATTTAATTTTTAGTACAAACAAATATATAAATTTAATGATTATTTTTGTTGTACATTCTTTTGAAACGGAGTTGTTTAAAGTAAAGTATACACCTCTGGATTAATGCTCGTCCTAGTCTTGGACTGATTGCATACCTCACTTATTACAGTTTGTTAGTGATCGAAAATGAGTCAAAACTTTTCTGTTCACGACCTACCTATGTAGGTACCGTTTTATTTTACGGAATCATATTATTCACTTTCATGCTACTTTATCTCACATAATAACATTTATTTTGCGAATTAAAACTCGGTATAAACAATAAAATAAACCAACACCATTCGAATTTTGAAACTCTTTAAGCTTGACGTTATCTTTAGTCGACGCCAGGATTAATAGTATTTCATCTGACTTTTTTGTTAATTAAAAGACTTAATTATATCGGATTTATGCTTTAAATATTAAGCATGTTTAAAGTTGAGTGCTTAATAAAAGTTAGAATTGGGTATATGACGATTTTCTGAAAACTAATTAATTAAAATAGTTGTTTAATACATTATAAACACACTGTCAATATATTACATGAGAATCTGTTCTATTTTCGATGAATATAATTGTTTAAATCTACAGATTCTAAGAAATAAACTTTTATTAGATTATTATCTAACATGATGATAATAGTACGAAACTTATTTTTATAGTGTCAAATACCCATAATGATAAAAATATTAATTATAAATTCGCGGTTCGGGTATTTTCCCTTATAGCTTAACACTTAGGTATGCACTTTCTTAATGTAGCTAATATTCGGGTGTTTCGTCTGTATTTTAAAACGTTCGAATAAGAATATAATAGATTCATTACGTACAGAAATGATAAAAAAATGAAGGAATGAATAATCATTAATCGTCTCCCGTTTAACTAATAATTTCATATATTTTATTCTGGTAACACTAATGACACTGTTTGGTTCGGCTGCGATTTGGCTCCGATTACGTTTCAGTTTAGTAAACGTTCGTTTGATAATTTACGTTAGCGGAATGCAAATTTACAGCAAAAATCGAAACGTAACCGTTACAGAAACGCTATTGATGATCGATCGTTGTAAATTAGTAGAATTGGCCCCCAGTTTTCTTTCATGTTTAAAAGTAAATTAGTTTTCAAAACTCAATTAACAACTCATATTCTATTTGTACTTTTTCGTACTTGTATTGATAGTAAGTTTCGAACTTTTCAAATTTCAGTTTTTTAATATGTTAGTTAACGGAAATGACTGTCTTTGTTCCATTCGTTTCCTGCAAAAATCAACTTTTGCTAGAGTTGCTATCTAGGTGGAGGTATTTTTGTAGTGCTTTCGTTTTTTTTTAAATACTTCCTCATTATACAGAATCAGAAAGAAGCGCCGGACGAAAAAGCGTTTCGTCCGGCGCCCCTGGGCGGTCGCCCAACCGCGCCCTACCCTAACGCCGCTACTGCATATGTAAATGAATACGTATTTGTTATACCCAAGGGTATCATTTATTTTTCAAACCTGCCGCCTTTTTCCAACAATTAAAAATATTGCCATTGTGAAAAACTTAAACAGGGGTGAATAAACCAGACTTGGTAACAAATGCCGGCAAATAATTATATGTGGCTCAATTTCTTCAAAAAATAATGTTTACTGATTAATTTATCAAATCTCAAGAAAAACGAAGAAAAACAATGGATAAAATACTGTTCTCTTTCACAAATATACATAATATGAACGAATATTGAGTTTCACACTCAAATCATTATCATTTTTGACAATACAAACAAAATTAGGCTCGTTACAGAAAATAAAAATATTTAATTATCACAAAATTTTGACATTTTGTCTTCAGTGTTGCCAATTCTATTCACTTTCAATTTTCTTGTAGTAGTTTTTGAGATACAACTTTAACAAATAGTTTTGTCTTAAACACTGACTTTATAGAAAAGCAAAGGGATTAAAACTTTGTCTTTTATTATTTTTTGTCGACTGTTTAATGTTTTGTTTTCTGATTGTTTTTTATTTCAAATTAAATAAGAATAAAGGTTCATACTTCCTATTTTCGTATATCATATTTCACGCGTAACGAAACTTTAATGTCTATTAAATAAGTATGATTGATGATAAAGTAGTAAAATATTATTTTTCTTAATTATGCTTCTCTGCTCTTTGGCATATATTGGGGAGGATTTCTTACCACTCCCCTCCCTCTTTGGCTTACGTAGGCGTAATCACTGATTCGAAAGTTCAATATAAATTCATTTTGCTTTTGATTCTACTATTGAACATTATAAATTTAAGTTGCTGGTAAGATTTTCAGATAAAGAATCTTTGTTCATGACCGTAGTCATAGTTGCTGCTCAAAAAGATGTTGCAAAACTATAGACTATATGTAGATTACGAGACAACGAGTCCAAATTATTAAATGTTATTTAATTATTTTAACAATATTTTGGGAATTGTTCATAAATATTTAAATAAATAATATATCTCTTGCCTTTTGTGCTATCTATACTTTCTATTTTCATATGACGTCACATGGGTGTTATTAGACACGGTTACTGGTGCTGGCAGTATGGCTTAACCGCCTTCGCTTGTCCTTGGGACGAAGTTTACTACTGTCACTGTCTGATTGTCAAAACAATTTCACGTGTTTGAGATGGTGTTTTCTTTTAAAGTAGTTGTAATTAAATAAACTAATAATTAATAATTTAATGACTTTTATGACTTAAAAATGGGAAAGCGTAAATATGAAAATGAGAATACCACCGAAAAGACAGGGACTAATACAACTGAAGGCAACGAAAGCGGTCTTATAGACCAACCTCAAAGCCAAGATGAAAACGAAATTAAAGGGAAAGAGAAAAGGGCTAAAGTTAGTGGTTTCGATATAAAACATTTTCGCAAAGAGTTGTCTGCCAAGCAGGGTCAGACTATGGGTAAGTAATAGACGATACTTATTCAAGAAAGAAAGTTTGGAAAGTGCATTGCAATGTTATTATTAATTTTTGTTAATTATTATACACGTTAGTTTTATTTATGATAACAAAGTAGATAGTGACATTATTCAAAATTATGACTTTGATATGATTATTCCACAAGTGCATTTGTTAGCACTTGTTTATTAATAGCAATGATTGAGTATTGAGTACAGCATACTACACTTACATCGGTTTGACTGTGTGTATTATTCTTAATACAAAATGCTTAAAAAATCCACTTGGTCCTTAGCACTCTGAGATAGGAATTGAACCCACGACCTTTCGCAATCTGGGTGACTGCTGACTGCTGACTGTGTGTATGTTCTATCCAATGTCGAGGATATCCAAGATTTAAGAGTACTTAATAGTAGATTCGCAGTTGTATATTAATTAGCATACTAATTTACCACATGTCTTGTGATATGATAACCACAGAAGAAAAACATTAGTTGCTATTATGTATAAGTCTATATTATTGTAAAACAGTGTCCCATTGTTGTTATTCTGTCTGGATTCAATAAACTTAAAAGATAATATATTATTTGTTACAACAAACGACAATTTTTATTTCAATATATTTTATTTATATGTTAGAAATATAAATAAAATATATTGACATATTGTATAGCATATTCGAGAACTGATTGCAATTCTATAAAGCTTCATTATGCCCTCATTAAACTGCTGCTCTAAAATTATTATATATTGTATTAAATGATAACTATGTATTTTATAGTTCTCACCCAATTTCTGCAAGCCTGCTTGAATCCTGATGATGAAGTGGACTACTTGCTAGACTACCTCAGGGCTGGGGGCAACTCGCATGAAATCCTCCGACAAATAAATCAGGAAAGTAAAAAGAACCTTACCCTCACCACTCCAGCCTTCCATATTTTCCATCTCATCATTCTCAAAGTGCAATCTAGCTTACCACACATGATTGCCATCACAGAAGAAACTTGTCGATACTTTTTAAATAATTTCATGTCAACTGTAGAAATTATGATTAGTGAGAATTCTGGTCCAAGGCATAGAAAAATAATTCTTAAACTTCTCACCTCTATGGTTACTCTTAATCCAGATCTGGGTGTTGAGGTCCTGAGCCATGCACCACTTTCGCCAAAACACCTGCAGTACATAACAGAAAAGACTAATTATAAAGAAAAAGATAACGTTCGGACAGCATTTGTACATTTCATGACATCATTCCTTATTGATGGTCATTTACCACTCATAAAAGCTTTACTAGAAAAGCAAGGGCTGCTGGCACTAGTGATACCAGGTCTAGTTCATGACGAAGCTGAGGCTGTGCTTATGTTTTTGAATATCCTAAAAAAGAATGTTATTGAAAATAATTTTGTTTCCAAAAGTTTAAAACTGAAGACTTTCAGTCATCAAGTTCTCCACAATATTTTTAAGATTTTCTCTTGGAAAGGACCACTGGAACTAAAACATGAACTTAGAACTGAGATGCATCTTGAAATAATGAATCTTTTGTCTGATATTATACTGACATTATTTACTTCTCATAAATTGGGTCTTTATTTCTTAGATGGTAATTTAGGTACAACTGATGTAAATAAAAATATGAATTTATATAAAGCATTGTTGACCCTAAAAAGGCCTTGGGAAAATAAATACCAATGTAACACAATACTGCAGATTGTTTACAGTTGTCCAGATTTACATAGAGCTGTAATGAACATAGTAGAACAGAGTTTTGAGCCACAACACTCTCCTATTTGGGAGGGTACTGTTAACTTTGTTATCAAGTTATTAGATAAAATGAAACCAGAACATTTAGTACCTAGAATGAATAGCCTTAATGCAATTCAAGCTGCAAATTTTGTTAGATTTGTTACTTTACCTGTGCCACTGTTGAGATTCATTCAAACCAACCTTGGAAAAGATATTACAATTTCATTATACTGCATCAAAGTTTTAGTGAAAATGTTACAAACTCTGAAGAAGTACATGGACATTATTGAAATGGAGGAATCATCATGTCGAATATTAGATTTGAAGAATAAATTAGATTATTTTTTACCAAAGCACCTGCCTGTTCCAACAGTAATAGTTTCATTGGTTCAAGATATAGTTACTAATAAAGTTGTAGCTGATGAGAAACCAGATAACTACAGACTTCCTCGTGTTCGAACAACTGATGCATTGCTACTTCTCACAGATTTGCTATTGCTATATAATGACATTCAACCAACATTTTTTGAAGTTTTAGAAGGGAATATCGATATAAAACAGATTTTAGATTTCTCCACTAGTCTAGAAGGAGACAGTGTTGCACTTCTCAAATTCAAAATTGTGTCTCTTTGGATAGCATTGGATAATTCAGTAATTTCTTTGAAGAATCCAATGTTTAAAGAATTGTTTATCATTATGCTTGAAGTTTACATTAATGATCAAAATGAAATATGGGTTGAAGCTAAAAGCACCCTCCACAAATTTTTAAAAAATACAGGTATTTTCGAAGCTGATGAAGATGAAATACATTTGCTTTTGTATTCTTTGCGTAATTCTGTAGTTAGCCCAATATCGTTGATTGCAAATGTAATTGAATATGTTCTCATAAATATTAAAGATTTGACCTATTATATAAAAAATCAGACAGAGAAATTTGAAATTTCAAATGGAGACAGTGATGCCTCTTTAGGGAAATTGTTTGATGATTTAATGGAGAATCGAAACATTGAAGATAGTATCTTTTTAGAAAATAAAGTGCCTTCTATTTTTATAGTTGGATGTATACAATTTATGCAATCCAACAAAGTCAAACGTAACTTAAAACATTTTGTGTCGTTATACATTGGCAATCTTTTCCACTGCAATTATTCACCAGAGTTAACAGAGGTGTTAATTGGGGATGCAAAATTAGACATCCGAAGTTATATTAGCAGCTGGGTTGTGCAGGCGGCATCGCTGCCTGAGGACATAATAGTGAAAGATAAAACACTACTAAACATTTCCAAGTCTATCATTGACAAAGAAGAATTAACTTTAAACCAAATTTTTACATGTTGTAAAGAGTCTACTGATGAAGAAAATGTATTTGTAAACGAAATTGCTCTAAAAGTCAATTTGTCTAATAAAATTGACAGTTCCGAGTTATATGTTTGGGCTAAGTATCTAATATTCTGTACAGTGCGTTTAACATACATGGAAGAATTAGACGAAGATAGACAAAAGAAAATAATAAACTATATTTTGTGTCTTATTACTATCGGTAAAAAAAGTCACATGATAAATGAATGTCGAGCTATCTTGATGTCCCTGTTTAAGAATACCCATGTACTAAAAATATATCAACCAATTATGTTTAAACAAAATGTCAGCACATTATTGGCTACTGATTGTCTTCTAGACATTATAACGTTACATACCGATATAGTCAACTATTTAAACAACAAACATAAAATATTGAAATCTTATCAACAAAAAAACTATAGTGAATTAACGAAAGCTTTTGTAAAAATTAATGAAATGAAAAATTTTGATAGTAAACATTTTGTGAAAGTTTTAGAGATTGTAGGCATGACACACGAAGACGATTTGCATATTTTCAATAAAATATTTTCAATAGATGCAAGTTATTGTGTGAAAGACGACAAAGAGCCGAGCTTCGTATTAGACATCTTACGAACTTTGATAGAGAAATACTCAAAATCTGCAGTGGATTCTCCCGAACATGTAATAAGGAAAAGTGTAAAATTGTATACAGAATTATTGATAAATAAAGAAGTTAATCCAAACCTTACAGACTTAGAAAGTGCGTTAACAGAATATTTTGAAAACAAGCCGCATCATACTACTTACGTTAATGATGAGATATTCAAAAATTTCTTCAATGCGGTTACCGTTCGGAAGTCTACGTCCCAACTCGCTGCTGTATTATTAAGACACAACTCGAGATTGTGTAACATATTTAAAGCGCAAGCGAGTCGTCCTGAAATACTAAATCAAAGAGAATTAACCTTGCCATTGGGTAACGCAGCTGTTAACCACAAACAGTTTCTAGTAGACCATAAAGATTTCCTTAATCTCGTATATGCTGAGTATAAGTCTAATATAAACAAAATGTTGGAAAAGCCGCATAAGGCTGGTCAGATATATATCGCTTGCTGGGAGTTTATAAGGAAACTAGTAGTAGAATGCATGGAAATTCAAGAATGTACGAAATTATTTTCTAAAAGTCACAAGTACGAAGTAGTAGAATTGAGTCATATTAATTTACTACAAGCAATTTTCATTAAATTGTGCTTGAGTGAGAAAAATAATAAAAATGAATATCTAATTAATTATATTTTAACCACGCTGCATACATCTACTTCAGCTTTAAAAGACGGTAAAGAAACAGAAACCTTGATTACGTTGGTCATTAACATAAGCGATGCCATTGATGTCTCTGAAAATACTGGATTTTTTGATTTTGCAAAAAAAGATTTTAAGAAAATTACTGACAGTGGAGTATGGCAGAACTTTTGTAAAGCTGTTTTAAAAGAATCATTAAAAGTAAAAACTGCGTCACAAGGTAGTTCAGCTGGTCCGCATCTTCTATATTTATTGACGAGACTGGTCAAGTTATTCTATCCAATTGACCACGAAGACATCATATCTTTGTTTGATATGGTAACATCTCATTCTGAGTTTTTAAATGTAATGTTGAGTCACCACAGTTCAGATATAAAATCAAGGCTAATAGCATTCCTGTATACTTTGATACAGTTGAACAAATCTGTCATGAAGTCTCAGCAGATCCCTGTGTATTTGAGTTCGTATCACGCGACCCGCAGTCCGTGCGACAGGCTGATTTTGTCCATTTTACACTTTTACGAAAGTAACGGTCTACCTGTAAACGAGTACAAACCGTATGTATTCGGGGATTCGGCTGCGAATCATTACGCTGTTCGCAAAAGCAGAACCTCCTCGTTGTGGGGGCAGCCGACGCCCAATCGAATTTTGAACTTATTCGAAAAGGAAATAGTAGACAGAACGGTGAGAAGTTTTCCTGTGACACAGAAACATGAATATCATTATGAGCTGGCTCCTGTGAATGCATGTTCTTTAAAGGAATCTTTGCATAAAATATCCAAGGAAGGTATATTTAAAGCGAAAGTAGTTAAAGATAACGAGACTGCTATTAAAATTTTATTAGCAAAGACTAAGTATGAGAAAGTTGTCGGCGTGGAAGATATGGTAGTATTTTCGCATTTGGATGAAGATTGCAGTATCTATGATCCCATGTTCTTGTTCCCCCTATTGAGTCACCTCCTGGCGCCAGGGTCTGTTGCGTCTTGTTTCAAACTTCTGCGTTCGGGACTGTTGTCGGTAGCGGTGATGGCCCTGAGCTCGGAATGTCCAATGATGAGGGCGTCAGCGTACCACGTGCTACATAGGTTCTGTTTACTCCTAGAAACTGAAACGTGAGTAGTATTTTCATTACTAATATATAAACTAGTTTGATATTTATTTATCTATCTATATAATATTAAACTGTGCCAAATGTCATACTCCTCGGTCCACGCGATTTCACAAAAAGGGGTCCCAAAGTTGTGTCTTCACGTATTAATATTGTAACAATCCAAGATTATAAATGACTATGTTAATTTTTGAAACATTTGCCTCTAGTAGATTTTCAAAATCAGGATCTTAACAATAGGGGTGAAGACACCTTTTTTTATTTTATAGATATACATGAAATATATCTAAAATAAAGATATTAAAAATAATTTATATAATAAACTAAAAATAAATTTATTTTTCAAAATTTCAGTCATGGCGTCGCTGTGACGTCACGGCACTCTGAAACTAATATCGTTCTACGTATGCATAAGGTTGAATGCTGTAAGTTATGATATGAGTTAAGGAGTGACGTCACGCGCAGTTTGCTGTCACGTGACAACCAGTATAAAATATTTGTTTTTCCATAATTAATTTACACAATATTATAAATATAATACACATAAAAGTGTGATTATCGGTAATAGTATATTAAACACTACCAAAAAAAAATTATATGTATTTATTTTCGTTTACTGTCTACACACGTATCTTGCATCTTGATGTTTTCATCTTATATTTTTATGGTACCACAGGACAATAATCATAAATTTTCAGCATTAAATACAACCGTAGTTCATATATTCCGCTACTACTTTTAAATGGGTTTTAGTCAGCTTAAATGGATGCAAATGGAGTTTTATTAAAAGACTAAGGGCTTGATAAAGTTCCAGATCACTGATATTATCTGTCAAGATAGTTCTATCTGAAACTTGTGAAAACAAAAATTGCGATTTATCTGGCAGATAAGTTTCTGATAGGCTATTAGGGACTTTATCAGCAAATGGTGAAACTGTCCCTAAATATTTGTCTTCTAGCAGGTATGATGATTAATCTGATTATTTTATTACAGGAGACACAAGAACGATAAACTGTTTCTAACAGACTTTATCAGGACACTTAGACGGAGTTTGATTACGGCTATAGACAATTCATCGAACGAAAACGGTGAATTAAAAAATCTTAAAAATTTTAGATTACCGGCCGTTAGCGCTTTATATTTCGCTAGAGCGTTGATGGTGTCTGCAGCTCCCTCTGACCCGCTATACAAATCAGTCAATAATTTCTTTATAGCTAAACAAGAGGTAGATCTAACTGTAGTCCCTGACTTCCTGACATTATTTCATGACAGCGACGTAGAAGCCGCTGACAGACGCATGTGGATACTGGAAATTATCAAGGATGGCACTAGAACGATGACTGACGTTAATGTCGTGTTTAAAACGATGTGTATGAAAATGTGCATGGACTTTTACTCTTCGGTTCTGTGTGATAGAAAAGTAAGGGAGAAAATATTGAATGCACTCAACTCTGTGATAGCGGTTCCCAGAGCACTTGAGATACTAATAGAAGGTTACGGTCTTATATCCTGGTTACACGCAGCTGTTGCGCAACTTAGAAGAGAGGACAAAATATTAGTAAATGAACTGCTCCATGTTATAGAAAATATAATTCATAGTGTCGTTGTCAATTCATACGTAAAGCATTGTGCTCTTTCAAAAAACGGCGCAAGAATCGGGGAATTCAAAATAAATAAGGATACAGAGAATGAAATGTTAATACTTCTTTATGATCTATTACCACATACTTTCGGTTTAGATGTTGAAGATATTGTTACTTACATACAAAAATATAATTTTCTATCCAAAAGAGCTATTAAATGTTTGACGAAAAAACAAATTTTAACACTAGTCACTAAGACTGGCTCTTACGTCAAGGAGAATGAAAATGTTAAATTATTAACAGATGCAATAATAGGGAATGATTGTAATATTCTTAAAAGCAAATTTATTTCTGTTAAATTACAGGAAAACGATCGATTGTTGCAAGAACTATTGTCGTTAGTAAAGACTTACATTGTTTTCTAATGGCATAAAATGTATATATGTACCTAATTATAAAAATGTATGTATAAATAAATATTTTTTTTTATCAATTAATCTTTCTGTTAACATATTCTGCAATACATGACATATAAGAAAACTAGAACTCGTTAGTGCAATTGACATCTTGTCAAGGGTACCCTTCTTAAGAGTCATTTTAGAGTAAACTTCCTAGGTGGGGAATATTGTAAATATATGGTATACAGAACTGAATATGCATTTACACAAAATACTTATTAGTATAAAATCGTTACATATGATAGAGCAATTTAAGTTTTTAGAGGATTTTGTAGCTAATTTAAAATTATATGTTTCATAGGAGTTCTGATTGCTATTTGTTGTGAGCATAGATTGTTTGGGTAACTGATTTTTTTTGTAATTTCACCTAAGTATACTCATAATAATTAATAATTATTAAGAAAGTGACTAGCATTGTAAAAGCTGGGTTGGCAGCGTCAACCTCTAGGATTTTGAGATGAATTCTTGATACACCTTGTCCCTTATTTTCCCTGATACACCTTATTTATCGGCCCGTTCTAAGATTGGGAGAATGCCAAGTTTCGCAGTTTCAGATTATAGTGTCATCATAACTAGGACTCCGAAAGTCTATAATTTAATACTCTATTTATCAGTCTAGCTAGAACATAACCGTGATGTTATATATGTATATAGAAAATTAAAGGAATATTGCGGGTCTTAACTATAGCACTTTATTAGTTCATTATCTTAAAACGTCATGTTATTTTAGAATGAATTCATAAAAGATTGAAACTTTACATTATGTGAGTATTCATCATTCTAAAGTAGCAGGTAGTGGAATAAATTACGCTAGCGATCATTGTAACAACAAAGTATTTTTATCGCTCTGAGTACTCCAAAATATTCTAGTCGCATATTTTTGTGATATAGTGATAAAATCCAGAATCAAAATAATTTGGATCAAACAACTTAAATGTATAACGCCTGCCGAATTCTTTTAGCAACTAGAAATTTTTCTTGATCGTAAAATCATAGCAATCACACTGGTGACTCTAATCAAATATATATTCAATTTATTTTTAAACAGAAAATATTACATACTTATTTATTGTTTACATATAAGTTACCATTTCCAACATATTTTTAAGGTTCCGTACCCAAAAGGGTAAAACGGGAACCCTATTACTGACTTCACTGTCTATCTGTCTGTCCGTCTGTCACTAGGCTGTATCTCGTGAACCGTTATAGACGGTTGAGATTTTCACAGATTATGTATATTTTTGCAGTGTATGAAATTTTCTTTTATTACGTTAAGGGATTTTGAAGCATGTCCGTCCTATCGTAGCCTATTATGTGTAGGTATGATGAGATTTGTAAAGTTCGTTTTTTTTTTAATTTTAAATTGGTATAATGTCCTCCAATCCGCATTGGGCCAGCGTGGAGGGTCATGGCCCATCCTCCTTAACCATTCATAAGGAAGGCCTGAGCCCCTGCAGTGGGGACGTAAAAGGGCTGATGATGATGAGGTATAATGGTGATTTTGGGGCCCCCAAACAATGGCGCCTGGGGTGAGTGCCCCCACTTGCCCTCCCCTAGATCCTGGCCTGCCATGTGGTTGAAGGTCGGTTCCTAACTGCGGTGATGGAGACAAGTGGCCAGGGAGACTAAAGGATAATTGTCTCCCTCCGAGCTAGGTGTTGTTAGCCCGGGGACCGCAGTCCAACCGATGTAGGTTGGACGTTCTATTTATGCTAATTAGTTATTAAACTTATTATGTGCGATGTAGGTTTCTTTGTTCTAAATGCCTTGTAGTTATTAATTTATGCTGCTTGTATTGGTACAGCGCCATCTCGTTACTTGTTGTTGAAACTTATTGCAGTTCGTCTTGCTATCGATGGCTGTGACGATGCTAGTCTTCTCGCTATCGATTGTTGTGGCGATGTTACTGCGGTGAATTAGATGTCGCTATGTATCAGTCGCCACATGTGAAACAGACCTTATACCATAAATGAACCGGTTCTTTGTTATTTTTATTGCCGTAGGGAAAACATCGTAATATTTATAATTAAGAACGTTGACTGATTAAAAAATGGTCTAATTTTCTGACTATAAAGTTTTTATAGCTAATCTTAAAATTGGCAATTCTGTTATCTCATATCTCCGGACGCAGATGATCAAACAAGTTCTGTATTAGGGATCCCACATACGACTTTACGCATATTTGTATATTATATAGCTATGTTAATAAAATCCATATCCATTGCTATGAAAATCTTATACCAATATGGTTCTACAACCGGTTATAAAACATGCTTTACACGGACATTGAACTCCACATTCTTCATGTTGCAACTTATCTTTAGGCCATTTTTCAGAACTGAATTTCCACCCAACCGAATACCTGTAGCGCTGTAGAAGTTCTACGTAATTACACCTAAGTGAAAAGAGCGTAATATAGTTTAATTAACGACTATTTTGCTATATTTATGGAGGTACCCATTTATAAAATATAATAAATGAAATGAATGCGGCTGGTCTCAAAATTAATGTAAATATTAAAAACGTCTAAGAAGAAACCGATAATAGAAAATCCGGTTAAACCTAATAACGTAATTATAGAATCGATAAATTCATTTAGATATTTGGGGAATATAATTACGAATAACTCCAGGTGCACTCCAGATATAATCTCAAGGATGTAAATGACTAAAAGGACTTTAAATAGCAAAAAATATCTCATTAAAGCTAAGTTTAGGAATAAGGTCAGGTAACGCCTGGTAAAGGTTTGCATTTGGAGCATTGCATTATGCGGTTGTGAAACGTGGACATTAAGAAAAAAAGATAGGGAATGATTGGAAACGTTTGAAAAGTGGTAATTGAGGAGAATGAAGGGAATTAGTCGGACTGAAAAAACACCAATGAGGTGGTTTTAATAATGATAAACTTATTAAAAAAGGTCCTAGAAGACAAAAAAGAAGGGAAAAAAGAACAAGAATACCGACACGCAGCTACTTTGAACAAGTGAAAGAAAAAGTAAGCGTCGTGTCAAGTTCATAGCCGAGGATAGGGAATAATGAAAATGACCACCACTCCACATTCTCAACAACAACTCCACACTCTTGTCAAGTATCACTCTGAAACGTTATAGATCGATTTATCTCGGCCCTTATCAATCTGGTTTTCGTCCTGTTTGAAGCACAGTCGGTGCACTGCTCAACATCACAGAAGATATTCTTCTATCTTTACCATCCCAGGCTTTGAACTGCTCAACTGTAACACTAATTCTTTCTTGAATCTGAAAAATGTACTAAACTTCCGATAATTTATGAATAACAAAAAATAAAAAGTTACTTGAAATGAGCTACTAATGGTAGTAATAAGTTTTATGTAAAATAGCATTTCAAATTCAAAGTATCAGAGATCAGTAATAAATTGGTTGTAAAAATATTGAGTGGACGTTACATAGATTCGTTCGATATCTATAAATTGAAGAGATGCTAGAATATCCGTAGACAAAATTTAATTTGGCGTCACGCACCAAAATCTCTAAAAATGTTGTATTGAAAAGCAAGAACAAGCTGACCGTCAAGGTGCTATGAGGATCAGTCTTAGAATCTAACACAAGCAAATCATCATGTTGTTTTAGCCTTTAAAATTAAAGCCCTTATCTGAAAGGCAAAAATAAGCAAAGTAGTCAAATATCCAAGTAAAATGACGGCGTAATTTATTAAACGACTTCAGTAAAAGGACTATTTTTGCCAAGAAAACATTTGTTTGTATTTTTTGCAAGGCGATTTACCGCGCACTAAAATGGAAAGAAGAGCAACTAGATTTTTCTATGAAGATTATCCACGATTTTCATAATTGTTCCATCTATTGGACAGGCCTATGCCCCAGCAGTGAGACGCAGATGAGCTAATAATGATGATATAAAAGTGGATGCTTACCGGCAGATTTTTAATTTAGATTAGCTTAATGCTCCAGTATAGCAGGCCAGTGTGCACTCAGTGCCCTCCAAACACGTGGGCGAAGCTGCGGGTTACAGCTAGTTTATTATATATATCTATTATTTGTTTGATCTTTTCTTTCTTAACGGTAAAAAGAATCATTTAGCTGCACTTTGTGTCACCCGCAGGAGTATTTTGTGTGTATGTGTGCCTGATAAATGAATTTGATCCCTTATCCTGATAAATGAATATGATTTTTAACTGAGATTTTTAATGTGAGTTCCGTGTCTGATTTTTTCTTATGTTTGGTCTGTGTTCATCTGGGTCGGGGTGTGTGAAAATGGCGACGAAATAAATGGCATGTTTTAAATAATCAAGCAATGGTTATTTGATTTATTCGTGACTACATTCCTAGTTCCTGACACCGTGCAGAGACACCCACCTCTGTGGTTACTTTCACTTGACACTGTTATGTATGTTCTTTGTGTGTAATCAAGATAATAATAATAATAATAAAACTTATCATTATATTCAACTTCTCCTCCTGTTCTTTTAAATCATATTGAATTCTTTGTAACCCACTAACATCAGATGTATAAAAAAACTTTTTAAGTTGTCACAGCTCCACCATATTTTTAATCAAAAGTAATAGTCGCAAATTTTTATGAAGGCACAAAGTGTGCGGGTGCCCTAAACCACCAAGTTTAACGACTAATAACTCACGGGGCGTACTGTATGTTAACGCAGATGCAAACATTAGAGATTATTAATTATCAACGGATATCGTTGTTGATTTTAATGATTCAATTTTACAATTCCTCGTTTTCCTGTGTTGATTTTGAGGGATAATAATCGTGAGTTGTTTTATGTGAACACGTAATTCAACATAATGCAATTAATAAATAAAATATTACCAATAAATTGTTAAATGATTTCTTAATAAATTCCTACATTGAACATTTGCAATCGATGAATTATTTGACAGAAAAATATTAGGGTCCGGCTATATAAATCTGTAAAATTTTGCCCCTTGATTTTAGACCTTATTCTGTGAGAGCAGAGTTTAAAATCAACTGCAAGAATTTAACATAT